ATCACTGTCAAAAACGTCGGTGCGACATTTCACGTTGAGGACAGTATTGCATATTTCGATGAAAGATAATACTCGTACACGATCCGCGGCTTTATGAGATGTACACGTGGTGCGAACGTGTTTATAAGTAAATATCCGAAAAAAATTCCGCTATTATGACAACCGCGCACTCCCGTGTTTCGTCCGAATATATCTCGGCCAATTTATTATGGCTTGCTTACTGTTGTCGTGTTGCTCTTACCTTTAAGTTGACATTTATTGCCAAACATTGTACACTATGAGGATGTCGACTAGTGTATCGTACGATCACGAAGTTGCTTGTGTAAGCTTCTGTAAGCTTATGGCCGAGTAGCTTGTGATGCGACTGCTGCGATGTCCGAAAAATGACTGAAACCTTCGGTCAAATAGTCACAGCACATCGACCCTTCCAATTCATTTTTGGAAACTTCTGGTCGGAAAAATTGATTAAAAAGTAGTAGTATGAATCATGCTTGTCCCTAACTTTCCTTGCCTGGCACACACACACACGCAGGTCATTTTTCAGGCCATTTCTCCGGCCTTTTTTTCATTTTCTTTCTTTCTTACTATCTTCCCCATTTTCTATATATTTTATCTTTTTTTCGTTGCCATTAAAGATGTTCAGATGTTTCATGCTATTAAAGATTTCAATGCTACATCGTTTTGTCATTTAATTAGGTAAAAATATAAAACGAAGGTTGCACGAAAGATCTTACACAATTTTTTCTTAGCTTTCCGATTTTTTCTCATGATCTAAGCCTTACATATAAATGAAACATTGTTCGCAGTTATGACCTTGACGGATATTAAGACCATGACGGATATTAAGATATGCTCTCAAGTTGGAAACGTTTAAAATGACGACCGAGAACCATGATAATTTCGAAATTTTCTTCGAATTCTTAATATATTTTTCCAATGACAATCTTTAATACCATTAACACGTTAACTGCCACGTCAGTGACTGACACTGAACTTTCCGTTCGGGCCGTGTCAGTCACCGGTGACTGACAATATAAAGTAAGATATAAAACTAAAAAATTACATAGTTTAATAAGTAATTTCAGAATAGTATAATTAATATACTTAAATATTTTGTATCAAAAAATTATACTGGATTTGGCCTGACGCAGATTTCCTCCGAAATGCGCTTGGCAGTTAACGTGTTAATGGTTCCATTAGTAACCATTAATGCCCATCGATAACATAGGCGATTAATCAGATGCCTAACATTCCTAGTCTAATCTAGTACCCAGAATTAGATACTAAAATACATATACGATTACACATAAATCAGATTTATCACATTTCGTTGGGAAGCATATTTAGCTTTGAATATAGAAAAGTAATAGATAAAGACAAAAAGTAAATTTGCAGTACAAGAAAATAGTTTCTCGAAAGATAGATACATGAAAAATATATTGTAAGAAAAATTGTTATATAACTACTATAGTAATACTTACTAGAAAAATAGCTCTTCTGTTTTTATAATTTTTTTATTATAATGTATTAGATAAACCGAAAAGTAATCAACATTTTTTTGATGTGTTCATTCACAGTCAGTTTGTGTGGAGACACGGTCCAGTAAACACGTAAGTTTTGTTGCTACGATCGAGCTTGGTTGTAAATTCTGTTTTTAGGTTAAAAAATGTTTGTTCTAGTAAGGAGGAAAGATGTCAAGGCCAACAGTAGAAGAAGAACATTTACGTCATTGTATGCTATTTTTGTTCGATCAAGGATTGAAGGCAAACGAAGCAGTGAAAAAAATTAACCACACTTACGGCGATGTTCTAAAACTAAACAAGTGTTATAGATGGTTTAAAAAGTTTAAAAATGGAAATAGGAGTCTCGAAGATGTTGAACGAATGGGACGACCTCAAAAATTAGATGATGATATCCTGAGGGCGATGGTGGATTCAGATCCTCGTCAAACTATTAGGGAATTATCACTAAAGATTGGCTGTCCATGGTCTACAGTTCAGGATCATCTTCATAGCATAGGAAAAATGTATAGGCAAGGAATTTGGGTTCCTCATGAATTGACAGAGACGACACTCGATCAACGGCGTACAATCTGCGCGTCTCTATTGTCTCGGTATGACCGATCAGTTTTGCGGCGAATTGTAACTGGAGATGAGAACTGGGTGCTATAAAATAATCCTGTACGAAAAAAACAATGGCTTTCTCTCAGAGAAGCACCTATTCCGACACGTAAACCATCACTAACAGTAAGGAACGTCCTTGCTTGTGTGCGGTGGGATTTTTCAAGAATCATACACTATGAATTGCTTGAACCTAGTCAGACCGTTACAGCGACAGTGTATTGTGAACAACTCGAGTGAATGAAGAAAGAGGTTTTTAAAATCTATTTGTTTTGGTCAATTACAAAAAAAGAATTCTTCAACACGATAACGCGAGGCCTCATGCTGCAAAAATAACACAGGAAAAAATTAGGGAGCTTGGATTGGAACTTTTACCTCATCCACCTTATTTACCAGATCTCGCGCCGTCGGATTATCACCTTTTCAGATCGTTAGAGCATATATTAAGAGGTAAAAACTTTAGCAATGTTGAAGAAGTGAAAACGCACTTGGAAAACTTTTTCAATGCAAAATCGAAGGACTTTTTTAAAAAAGGAATCGACCAACTGCCTATACACTGGCAAAAGGTGTTAAAAAATAATGGAAATTATTTTGTTGATTAAAATGTAGGATTTCTTAAATAAATAAATGTTTTTCGCCAACAAAAAATTTTGATTACTTTTCGGTTTACTTAATATAAATTTATAATATTATCGTTACAAGTACTAAAATTTATTAAAATATTATTCTCTCGGTGTACATACGTTTTAGGTTATCACTGGATTCCATCCACCACAGTTATTGACTGCACACTTAGTTTCTCCGTTATTTAATTTATCAGTTTAACACTTTGCGGTCCAAGCCGCCACAATGCCGACCCATGGCGGCATTCGCAAAGTCGTCGTCGAAGTCCGTGCCGCCAGCTTGGCGATATGATGTCATTCATGATCGCCTGGCGAAGCGGCACGGTGAACGAAGCTAACTGAAATGTAACTGCGAAACACTAAATTTGCACGGATCTGCTGGTATCCTGGTACTTGGACCTATTTTGTCATGTTTCTCGTACACTCTCGAATCATAAATACTTTCAAAACAAACGGTCCTTGATGAAAACTATCTGCGTTAGATGCCTTATTTTTCGACACAGATAGTTCTCGATGAGATACTTTCTATTCTGTTATGTCTCTCCAATACTCTCGAAAGATAAGTACTTTTAAAACCAACGGTCATTGCTGAAAACTATCTGTGTTAGAGGTCCTGTCGTTTGACTCTGATAGAATTCTATCAGAAACGTCCTACTCTAACATGTTTCCCAATCACACCTGGTCAAAAAATATTAATTCTACATAATATTAATTCTTCTAATACATGGTCTTCTATTTACTAAATTTTGAGAACTTGCTATTTTGACATGTTTCTCTAATACTCTCGAATAAAAACTAATACCACAACCATCGTTGTTTGATGAAATCAAACGGCGTTAGCGGTCCTCTCGTTTGTCTATGATAGATCTCGATGAAAAACTTCCTATTCTGTCATGTTTCTCCACTACTCTCGAATCATAAGTACTTTCAAAACCAGCGGTCCTTGTAGAAAACTATCTAGGTCAGAGTTACTGTCGTTCGACGCAGGTAGTTTTGGATGAGAAACTTCCTATTCTGTCATGTCTCTCCAATACTCTCGAATGAAAATTACTATCATAACCAACGGTGCTTGGTGAAATCTAAGAGCGTTAGAGGTCCTGTCGTTTGACTCTCATAGATCTCGATGTGAAACGTCCTATTATAAGATGTCTCCCCATCACTCGTGGCCAAAAAATATAAATTCCACGTATTCTAATACATGTTCTTCTATTTACTATATGTGGGTACTTGCTATTCCTACATGTTTCTCCAATACCCTTGATTGACAAGTACATTCACACCGAACGCTTCTTGATGAAACCTATCTACTTTAGAGGTCCTGTATATTGTCTCAGATTGATCTTGACGAGAACCGTGGGTGATGAAAATAACTTTCAATTACGAATATTTACTTATTTATTTATAGTCTTTATATAATTTACGTAATATTTCAGAAATTTGCAAGATTAATCACTTTTCGATAATTTTATACCTGGACATTGTCTCTCATCCACCCAACCTCTAGCTTACTGGCCGAAATCTATCAGCGTTGGGCATCCCTCCTCCTGTTTACTGCAGCCTGCAAAACCGATGTATTATTTCTATATCAGTCATGGTGATACGTCCATTTTGGAAAATCTCAACTCCCTAGTGTTGGTATGGATACTCCCATTTCTCGTCCTTAAACTCAGCTCTATTTCAATGAGTATCTTATTATTCTGTCATGTTTCTCCAATACTCTCGAATGAAAATTACTAAAACTAACAACGATTCGTGATGAAATCTAACTGCGTTAGAGGTCCTGTCGTCCGACTCTTAGAGATTTCGATGTGAAACGTCCTATTTTATCATGTTTCACCATTACTCGGCCAAAAAATATTAATTCTATATATTCCAATACATGTTCTTCTATTTACTAAATTTCGATAATTTGCTGTTCTGAAATGTTCACCAATACTCTCGAATATATACTAATACATATATAATATTACTATTACAACCAACGGTGCTTGATGAAATCTAATAGTTTTAGGGGTTCTCTCGTTCGACTCTGATAGATCTCAATGAGAAACTTCCTATTCTATCATACTTCTCCACTACTCTCGAATCATAAGTGCTTCCAAAACCGACGGTCCTTGATGAATATTATCT